CTCTCTCTCTCTCTCTCTCTCTTCCAAGGGAGATAGCTAATTCTAAAATCATAAGGAACCAAAACTATTATGGAAACTAAGAACAAAGTTAAACACTAATTTGAGGCCATAATTATCAAAACTCCAATTATCAATTCAGTGTTACATTGGTACACATATATGCAAATGATCAGTGAAGCAGAATAGTCTAGTAATAGACCCACACGGAGAATCAAATGGTGCTAAAAAATCACCATCACAACTACACATCAAACACACACACACACACACACACACACACACACACACACACACACGCCACTTTAATGTTTATCTCACACTCCACATAAGAACTAATTTGAGAGGCTTTAGAGATGGCTCAGGCGTTAAGAGTACTTACTGCTCTTACAGAGGACCTGGGTTTGGTTCCCAGCACACACACTGGGCAACTCTCAACAGCCTACAACTCTATCTCCAGGGGGTCCTATACAGTTTTTTTTTGCGGGGGCACCACAGGCACCTGCATGCATGCAACATACCCACACAGAGACTCACATACATAGACATAAAATTAAAATAAATCATTTTTAAAACTCCAACTAATTTCAACATCAGAGTTATATAAATCACTAAACCTAAAATTATCAAACTTTTAGATGAAAATTACCAGGATTTTGGTTTAAGATATTTTTCATGTTATATGATGTTTTCTTACTTTACATATCGCTCTCAGTTCCTTCTCCCTCCCACCCTCCCATTTCTCCCCCCACCCCACCCCCTACCTCCATCCCATATTCCATCCACTCTCCAGGGAGGGTGAGGTCTTCTAGGAAGGATCATAAAAATCTGTCAAGTCCTTTGGGGCCCTCCCTCCTGTCTCTAGGCTAAGGGAGTATCCTTCCATGGAGTGTCCCCAACGTCCTTTTGTGCACCAGGGATAGATCCAGGTTCCACTGTCAGTGGTCCCATAGACTGCCCAGGCCTTCTAACTAAGACCCACTTTCAGGGGATCTGGGTTGGTCCTATGCTGGTATCCCAGCTATCAGTCTGGGGTCCATGAGCTCCCCCTTGTTCAGGTCAGCTGTCTCTGTGGGTTTCTGCTGCCTGTTCTAGCTAGAGCAATAAAAGGAGATCAAAGGGATACAAACTGGAAAGGAAGAAGTCAAACTTTCACTATTTGCAGATGATATGATAATTTACATAAGTGACCAGAAAACCTCTACCAGGGAACTCCTACAGCTAGCTGATAAACACCTTCAGCAAAGTGGCAGGATACAAAATTAACTCAACAAAACAAAACACAACACAACACACACACACACACACACACATAAAACAGTAGCTCTACTATATACAGATGATAAAGGGGCTAAGAAATCAGAGAAACATCACCCTTTACAAACAACATAAAGTATCTTGGGGTAATGCTAACCAAACAAGTGAAAGACCTATATATAGCAAGAAGTTTGTGTCTTTAAAGAAATTAAAGAAGATACCAGGAAATGGAGAGATCTCCCATGGTCTTGGATAAATAGGATCAACATAGTAAAAATGGTAATCTTGCCAAAAGCAATCTACAGCTTCAATGCAATCCCCATCAAAATCCCAGCACAATTCTTCATTGACCTTGAAAGGACAGCACTCAACTTTATATGGAAAAACAAAAGACCCAGGATAGCCAAATCAATCCTGTACAATAAAGGAACTTCAGGAGGCATCACCATCCCTGACTTGACACTCTATTATAGAGCTATAGTCCTGAAAACAGCTTGGTATTGGCACAAAAATAGACAGGTAGACCAATGGAATCGAATTGAAAATCCTGATATTAACCCACACATCTATGAACACCTGATTTTTAACAAAACAGCTAAAAGAGGAAAGAGGAAAGCCTCTTCAACAAATGGTGCTGGTATAACTGGATGCTGGTGTGTAGAAGACTGCAGATAGACCCATGTCTGCCGCCATGCACAAAACTCAAGTCCAAATGGATCAAAGACCTCAACATCAATCGAGCCACACTGAACCTCTTAGAAGAGAAAGTAGGAGGTACCCTTGAATGAATTGGTACATGAAACCACTTCCTGAACATAACACCTGTAGCACAGACCCTGAGATCAACAATTAGTAAATGGGACCTCCTGAAACTGAGAAGCTTCTGTAAGGACACAGTCAACAAGACAAAATGGCAGCGCACAGAATGGGAAAAGATCTTCACCAACCCCACAACCCCACATCTGACAGAAGGCTGATCTCCAAAATATACAAAGAACTCTTTTTCTTTTCAAACTTTTCAAGACAGGGTTTCTCTGGAATCCACTTTGTAGACAAGGCTGGCCTCGAACTCACTGAGATCCACCTGTCTCTGCCTCCCAATTGCTGGGATTAGAGGAGTACACCACCACCACCCAGCGGTCTATAAAATCTTAAATATGATACCCAAAGCACTATCCATAAAATAAATGAGTGAACGACACCAGTATTTAAAAAAAACAAAACTTTTTCAATTTCAAAGACTTTAAAGAGAGAACAATAAAACAAGCCACAAACAAACCATAATAAAGAACTTGTTTTGTTCATAAAACATAGACATTCTATGGCACAAGTATGAAAAAAATGCTAAAATAGGTATTCATAGTACATAAAAATTCTACACAAAATATGAATAAAAGTCAATAAAAACTGAGGTGAGAGATTTGAACAACAGTACAGCTAAGAAGATACATGGATATCAATTTAGCATCAGAGAAGACAGCTATCACCAAAAGGCATTAGGGAAATGAAAATTAAACCATCATCACTATCTCAGATAGGAAAAAAGATTTCATGAGGAAATTCTGGACAGCTGAAATATGCAGTTGATAGTAATGCATGTGGGAAAGGTCTGCTACCAAGTTTAGCATATACTTATAATAAATATAACCAAGCACTTGATTCCTTCCTAAGTTCTTACACATAAAGACCCGAATATGAACAACCGAATCAATCCAAATTGTTCATTTGGATAACACCTACAAAAATGGAGACATCTCCAGGCTCTGTCACCATGTACCTGGGTAGATTAGTTGTGTGACGATATAATAAAATGATACCCTGGAGTAAAAAGCAGTGACCCAAGCTGGGTATGGAAGAGCATGCCTCTAATTGCCAGTACTTGGGAGGAAGAGGCTGGCTGAGGCAGGATGATTTCATGGGTTCTAGACCAGCCTGGTTTACATAACAAGATCCGACACGCAATGGTGCCATAGTGAGACGCTGAATAAAAACAAGACAATGAACCAGTAATGTAGTGATATGCATACATCACACACTATGTTTAGATGAGTATGTGTTTTATATGCACATTATATGTGCATAATATATACTCAGGAAAATTCTACCAAAGTCAAACTAGTTTATAATGACTGATAACTTACCCATGGTAGCCTGGGGAATATGGACACAGGGAACAGATAGGAAGGGACACCACTAAGGGTCAAGAGGAAAGTGGAGATTAGGGTTCTGTCATTATCTCAAGGGTAACAGTCACTTTATGGGTACAAATTTGTTAAAACTTGCCAACATTTTTCTTTTAAGCACATGCAATTTGTTATATACATGCATAACATTTCACAACGTTTTGTTTTGTTTTGTTGTTACTGTTGGGGATTAAACTTGGGTTCCATGCTTGCTAGGGGAGCACTCTACCACTGGGCTGCCCACTCCCTCGATCCTCTTTTCTCTTCTGTTTTTGATACTTGACCACACTAAGTTGCTCAAGCTGGCCTTGAACTCGCTCTAGAACCCATGCTGGGCCTTCAACCTGCCTCGGCCTCCCAAGTGGCTGGCGTCACAGCCTTCAGTACTAGATTTGACTACAGTTGTTGTCTTTAAATTGACTGAAATAAAGTGAAGGAAAACTTAGTCTCATCACGTATACTAGTGAAATTCCAAGTAGTTAGCAGCCACAGGGAGCGCATGGCTACCCTTCTGGACGAGACAGTAGAGAGTATTCCTGCCACTGCCTGCACTACGGCTCAGCTCTCACGTGTGCTACCCACAAAGACTGCGCACCTCCATCGTCTGCCCGCCTCAGCTGTAATGGGAAAGATGGCAGCGTGGCAGTGATGCATCAGTTTCCGGAAGTTTTTCAAAAGAGATTTTATTAGGTTAATTTTAATGTGATGTTCCTGTGAAGTGAAACACGCATCCTACTCATAAACCTCCAGCACATGCACCCTTGTTCACCTATCGTGGCTCTTAGAGACAAAATGCTAAACAAAAGGACAGAGGAGACAAGGCCTACACCCTCCTGGAAGTTTCGTCCTCCTTGTAACCAAGGTGGTCACAGTTTCAGTATAATCCCTCAATGAACAGAATGGACTCACAGGTATCCCGTAAGTTAGTCTTTTTTCTTATAGTCTCGAAATGTTAAGCCACAGAACCCCCTTGTATGTTCCTATTAAGAAGAACCCAACACATAACCCCTAGACAGCAAATACAATTGGAGGGTCACATGTGAGGAGAGATATTCAAAGAGAGTCTCTCCATACACACCAAAATATTTCACCTTCAAGGAAAAATAGAAAAATCATGCAGACAAGTTGTTAATCTTAGCATCTAACAAAGCGAACTTCTTCCCCCCATCCCTAATCACTCTCTGCTCTGAAGTTATAGGTGACATTATTAAAACAAACACAAAAATTCAAACTATTTTCTATCACCACTCTAGCAGCCTATGGGAATCTGCATGCTCAATTTTTTTTTTTGGGGGGGGAGTCTCATATGAGAACACGGTGCTGCATTCCTTAAGCCTCTTTGGTCCATAGCCTGATGCCATCAGCCTTCCATACATGTCTTGTTTACTCCTTGTCATAGAGCTGGATTGCAAAGTGGAGTTATGGGGGTTTGGGTGGGGGCTGTAGCTGGTGGCCATTGTCGATGGCCCAAACGCCATACTACAGCAGCTAAGAAGAGTAAAAACAGAAACAAGATCCCTGTGTTGTTGGCAGAAGCAGAACTCAGAAGCCGGCTTCACTTACTTTTTTACACCGACACAGCCATTTCCCTTGTTGTCCATGTCAACAGAGAGCATGGGAAGGCTTGAAGGGTTCCTTTACTTCCGCAACTAATCAATAAGGGAGAAAAGCTTGGGTTTAATTCTTAGAAAGTGAGAGAAGACATGTTCTCAACTGGAAACATAAAGCGCCCTTTACAGCTCCACACCAGTTGACCTATGTTTGTTTAAAGGTCCAGTCCCGGCTGACCTGAGAGACAGGGTAAACCTGAAGACTGGAGGATGGGCTGGTGTGCACTCTCCACCGTGACAGTTAAGAGTGTGCAAGGAAACGGAAGCCTCTTTCCAGACCAGGAGTCTGATCTGGCAGGGCTTCCTCCAGCCGCCTTGCTCCCTGAAGACATTACAACTCACACTCAAAGGAGAGAAAAACAAGCCTCTCTTCTTAGCCCCCTCCCAGTATGGTCTGTTTCTTCCCCCCTTTTCTTTTATTGCTTTCTGTTTGCTCATCTGTTCACTCCCCCTGCTTCTAGCTTTCAATGAAATGTAGAAGGAGCTGAATTAAAGCTTTTGTCAGAAAGTGTACCCTACCTCATGTATTCTCAGGAAAACTCTGGGAGATGGCCATGTCCAATGAAGCAGAAAGCGCGCGCGCGCGCGCACACACACACACACACACACACACACACCAGATAGCTTAACATGCTTAACATAGAAAGGTGGTGGTGGTATATATGTGTGTATGTGTGTGTGGGGGGGGGGAGGAAGCTTGTCAGATTTATGTAATATCATCAAAACATTTGAGATATAGTAATATAATATCTATGTCTGTTTCTATGTTTACCATATGAGGAACTCTCCATAACCAATATACAATTAGCAAAATGGGGATGGGGTGCTTTAAAGACAAGAAAATCAAAACAAAAACCCTGGTCCAGAGTTCCCTTGTATTCAGCTGAAGCCATAAATTAAATACATTTCCTCTCTAATCACTTAGACTTCGGCGCTCCTTCTCCAGGGATTACTGTGACATGGCAAGTACATCGCTCAGAATATTCACATGATGTTATCATTCTTCTAGAAGTGGATGGTTAACAAACAATACTGCAAGCCTGGGATAATCTACACTCCCGAAACACACACACACACACACACACACACACACACACACACACACACCACACAAACTTCCAGTTGCTAAGGCTCTAAGATCACTGCTAAAGAAACCCATCATTTAATATACATATAGACATTAGCATATATCCACACAGTCAAAGTAGACAGGGAGAGAGTCCTGCTGTTCTAGCCACGAGAAGAATGGCACTTTAGTTGGAAACTATTATACATTCACCATTTTCTAAGCATCCCAGAAACAAAACAAAACAACTCACAGCGGCACTATAACAGCACAGTACATTGTCTTATCACTACTATCATTTTCTTTTCTTTTCTTTTTTCCTGAAAGAGTAAAAAGAAACCTACCTAGAAGCAACTAAAACATATCATTTTTATAGGCTTATCAAGAACAGCCAAAGAAACCCCAATGCTTTCTTTCACAAAGTAGTCTGGCAAAGGAATTCAATGAGGAGGTACAATTTGACACAGTGAAATAAAACCAGGCTGGCTCTCAGCCAACATGACGTTAGGAATCACACACAAGCCCGTAACTGCCTTCTGGTTCATGGCTGACTTTTTAAAGCTACAGCGTGCCTGTTCACTTTGGCTAACTACCTTCAGTGCAGTTGGTGGGAGGGAGTGAACAGCACTCCCGACAGGCAGAGTTCTCCCCACACAGGGCTTGTGCAGTCTAAGTAACCTCTTATTTTCTCCTTCCCTTCCCTGTCACCACATCAGTCTTTACTGTTGTTCTGTGTATCTGTTCCATGTTTCAAATTACCTTGTTTTCTCCCCATGGGAAAAATCAGAGAAAGCCCCGGCTTACAGGCTCTCCACAGTGACCACACAGAAGCTGCAGACCCTGCATTAGTTTTGGCTTTTGCTTTTGCTTTTTCTTAACAGAGGCATGGACAAAGTCCCCAGAGCTAGCTAGCATTTAAGTAATCTCTTTGTGAGAACCAGGAAAGCTCTGACCGGCCAGCAAATCCCTTCGCTCCACCATGTAAGAAATAACATCTTTGGAAAAGAATGTAGAATAGAAGACCACAGCTCGTGAAAATGTTCACTTTCCACCTAAGGAAGCCAACCGAAACCAAACCAAATTCTACAAGAAAAACCCACTCCAGCAAGGTTTAATTTTAATGGTTTAGCTCAGTTACATTAAAAAAAAAAAAAAAAAAAAAAAACTAACACCCCTCCCCATTCATGAGCACATGGCATTGCCCAAGTCACATATAATTAAGATGTGTTGACCCACTGCCATCTTATGTTACAACTTGGGAAACTTAGCAGTAGCGCAATGACACTGGAGTGACTTTTCGATTGTTACCTGGTCAATCTTACAGTGCTCTGGATCGGCTAGGAACTGCTAATGGATTGTAGGCGATGCATTTCCATCCCATAACCCTCATGAACATTTGTGCATGAGTAGAAAATACAAGCCAATCAACATTTCAATACTTTTCTTTCCAGATATCCACCAACCCCCAACACCCTTCCCCCAACAAAACCCAAACCAAAGGACAATGAGAAAACAGACAAAATCCACTCAAAATATGGGGAACTCAAGTTCCTTACAGGGGCCCTGAGCATCCTCGGTCCTCTGTGAGTGTGATGTGTCGATTTTAGGTAGAACCAAGCAGAAAGTGGTCTTGCCTCCCTTTGCTTTGCTGATCCCTGAGGCCATTCAGAGACCAAAGGTCAACAAGTATGACATAAATTTGGATCCTGAATTCCTAAGGCACCCATCACCCATACACCCACACCCGGTTTTCAGGAACGGCAATAGAAATGTTCAGTTTCCCAGAGCACCCCAACAGAGAATTTCAAAGGCTCTCTTTAACTGGACCTTGCCACTGCCTCGTTGCAAATGCAACTATAATTTTTAGGGGAGAATTGTAGTGGCCAGCATTTCGAGCTTGGATCAGCACATGTGTGCACTATCACGGTGACCAAAATGAGGGCCTTGGAGCGCACTCATCAACAGATCCATACTTTGGGACTTGTGAAAAACTCCTGAGCTACTTCCCAACTTCAGCCCAAAGGAATGGCATTGAATTGTAAGTCTGGTGGGCAGGAGAGCCAGGGGAGGGTGCCTGGGCAGCACAACCCTGACCTTCACTCTCCATGGGAGTCACAGATGTAGGAACACTCATGGAAGGGCTCTGGGAAGTTTCTTCAAGTGCCTTCCCCTTCACACACACACACACACACACACACACACACACACACACACACACACACAAAATCCATCCTCTGCCTTCCTGCTGGCTATGATCAAAAGTTTGCCTGTTAAATAAATGTGTTTCTGGAAGTGTTAAAGGAAATTGGTCCTGGTTCATCAAGAGTGAGCCACAAAGGTGTCCTAAATGATGGTAACAGGTTTCACTTACCAGCTAATTTCTAACTTTGGAAGTAAGTTGACGTGTGTGTGTGTGTGTGTGTGTGTGTGTGTGTGTGTTCACCCTCTCACCTTTGCACACTCTAACAAGGACGTTAGCCATTCATTCTTATAAGGAAATATATGTATTTCCTTATAAGTATATTGTACTTGTGTGAATCGAAGCATTGTGTTGTGTGCCATACGCAAGAGGTGTGCTTAGTGATGATAGAGCATGTGGGGTGTGTGGGTGTGTGTGTGTTTATGGTGTGTGTGTGTTTATGGTATGTGTGTGTTTATGGTGTGTGTGTGTTTATGGTATGTGTGTGTTTATGGTGTGTGTGTTTATGTATGTGTGTGTTTATGGTGTGTGTGTGTTTATGGTATGTGTGTGTTTATGTGTGTGTGTTTATGGTGTGTGTGTGTGTGTTTGTGCGCCCAAACAAGACCTTCTAAGGCAGTTAAGTACATCTGCACAAAGGCAACTTTGTAGGTAACTTCCCATACCCTGGCCTCGGGATTCTGGGACAGAGAACTTTGGGGTCCACTTGAAAGCGCCCTCGGATGGGGGAGGGGAGGCCAGTCAGGAAGGACGACGGGGACTAGGTACTTTGAGACATGGCTCCTGTATTGCCCGACACCCACCTCCAGGAGAGCCAGGCTGCACTGTAGGAGCCTTCGCCTGGTCCCGGGCTGGACCCAAGTCCCCGAGGGCAGTGCTGCACGCGTCCCGCAGGGCGTCTCCAGGGCAAAGGAGCCGCGTCCTCCCGCCAGCGATCGCTGAGCAACTGGCGGTGGCGCGGGGGACAGGGGAAAGTTTGTGCGGAGACTCTGAGGGACAGCCGAGCGGTCTGCCTTGGGTGCGAGCTCCCAGGGGTGCGGCGCGGAGCCCAGCACCGGTCCCGTCCCGTCCCGTCCCGCCAGCTCTGCCCTGCTCCGCTCCAGGTGACAAAGTGCACGCCCGCGGGGCGCGCGTTTGGGGGTAATTTGGCTTGTTTTGCTTTGTTTTGTTTTTTTGTCCTTATCTCGGTGCTCTCTGGCTCCTTTCATCCTGGAGAGGAGGGAGGGCGGGCGTGTTCCCAGGGCGGCCTGTGAGCCCATCACTTACCTCCCGCCCAGCCGCTCGGTGGCCGCCACGCGCGGAGCCCAGAGACACGCCGGGCGCGCGCGGCACGCCGGGAGTTGTAGTCCACCGTGGCCCCAGGGGTCTCAGGGGATGGGGGCGGACGGGGCGGGGAGGCAGAGACTTAAGAAGGAAAGGACCGAATCTGCTGGGATTCCTAGGAGGAGCGCGTCTGCCAGCGGCTCAAAACTTCCAGGGAGTAGAAGGGACTGGCACCTCCCGGGAAAATTAGTTCAGTTAACAGCATTTTCTTGTGAATAACCGCGTTGAACCGTGTAAGCCGGACGGACGTTAGCAACAACGAGTACAAGAGATCTCCCGGGCCGAGTTCCTATTTTCTAGGGCTCCGCTTCCTCCTCGCTGTGAACACGTGTTGTGGCATAGTTTGCTTAGGAGCTCCTGTTTTCCTGTTGCAGAAATAGCCTAACTCCAACGGAGGGTGATTGGATTTTGCATTTACAGACCACTCCGTAGCTCTCTTTACAAAGAGTTAGTTGTCTGCTTGTTGGC